GTTCAAATTTGTTTTCTGTATTTTTTTTCAGTGCAAAAAGTATGAGGTACAAAAAACTACAAATCAAAATGACTCAGAAATCCCACAAAACAGAAGAAAAACCCAACATTAAAGATAATTAAAGATACCTAAGACAATTCTGAACTTTATTTTATGGTGTGATTTAGAAGATTTTATTTTGAGTGATTTATAATGCAAAACATTTAATCTTCAGTAAAATAAATAAAGTAAAAACTGGCACACACTAACTATGAGGCACTAAATCTATTTAAAGTAGCTTTGAAGAAGTGAAGACAAAGGACAGTCAATAGCCGTGCCAAAAGTTGGGTGGTGTCTGATAATCTGGGTTTAATGTTGTAAAATACAAAASGAAATGATTGGAAGACCTAAATTTAAACAGCTGCCTTCTCTGTTTGATTATGATGAGGTAATACTGATGAGGTTTGTTTATTCTGACATAAACAGAAAAAMCAGCACATTAAAAACTACCAGCTCCAAGTACTGTTCATGTTAACAGGCAGCAATGTTTTAATGTTGGCATCAGCAATTTACAGCCTCAGTTAAAAACATGCTGGGATGTTGTGTAGAATGCAAATAAAACCAAAGTAGTTTGTAAAACTCCCATATTATACCAAGCAACACAGTATACATATTAAACAGGTTTTTAGAAAACGAAGATCATTTTGAATTTGATGGCAGCAAAACATCTCAAAAATGTTGGGACAGGGGCAACAAAATGCTGTAAAGTTGATGAACAAATATTAAATAAATGAAGGAGATTTTTGAAACAAATTAGATTAGTTAGCAACAAGTTGGTACAAACATATTTTTTTGAGAAGCTGCACATCTAAGAAGTAAACRTGCAGAGATTCAGCAGCCTATAAAAAAAGCTGAACAATTTTGAACAATGTTCCTCAGCATCAAAAGTTGAAGAAATATGAATTTCTCATCATCTACCAAACAGAACAGTCAGCTTCGTATTTTAAATTAGTATGAATTAGGTATGACTTGATTACATTAAGAGAGAAGAAAATGATCAGAGAATTTAATATTCATAGCAATTAACTCTAAACTAAATTTACTTCATTTGGATTTACTTGCCCCCCACCAAATGGCCCGAGATCTGAGCCTTTGAATCCTTCARTGGTGTGTTTGTGTTTCACAGATTGATGAAGACAAGAGAAAAGACAGTACATACTTCTCTCACCGAGGCTGCTAYGACAAGAAGGTACCAAAACCTCAGCTTCCAAAAATATGTRTATTTTTTTACGTTATGAAAGATCACAACAGATGAGTGTTTTTGTTTTCACAGCCTGTAATCCTGAAAGAGCTGAAACACACAGATGAAGATTTCACTGCCGAACAGAAAATTGAGCTCAACACTGTAAGGTTCTTCTATGTTTAAGTTTTGGTGGGCAGCACTAATCTAAAAATTAGYTCCACTAGCCCTAAAACACTGACTCARATATTTATGTCCCCTAATTCTAAAGCACTAACACACTGAAAATTCTTTGCAAAAGCTAATTCTAAAGGACAAAAATAGCCCAGTCAACCCATGAACATTCTTCAACAGACAACATGAGTCACATATTGTCATGTTGTTCTCTTAAGACTCATCGTTGACATTCTACATCTGTATTTGGGTTCATATATTGTCAGTATATTTTCACCTGGTGGATAAGTGACACACATATGAACAAAATGTGTGACAGTTTTCACCATCTTCAACATTAATGTTTATCAATGACATTTATAGACMTCAGTTAGTGCTTCTAAATTTAGCCTAAAAATTTAGCAAGTGCTAATAAAATTTAAAATTAGCAAAAGCACTAATCAGGAAATTAGTCCCCTTATTAGTGCTTTAAGGGAACTGTGCCCACCACTGGACATTTATACTAAACATGTGTAAAATTGTTTCCCACTGTGTTTCCACTCTTCCATGTGTTGTTGCTCCAGCTGCTGCGCATCGATTACTACAACCTGACTAAGTTCTATGGGACGGTGAAGTTTGAGTACGGCGTGTTCGGAGTGTATGAGTTGTGTCAGAGAGGTTCCCTCAGGGTAAGAAATGACCCCAAAGTGTCTCTGTTTGGGGCTTTACTACACATCAGGCCCAACTGGGTTTTCTTAGCTTTCATAAAACAGTATGTCTGGTCCAGGTCTATGGAGCTAAATTGGGGTCATATGTTTTGTTCAAAACAAAAAAAAATGAAACTGAAAAAAGGAGATTTGAAACTGAAAAAAATATATATTTGAAACTGAAATAAATATTTGAAATGGAAAAACAGTGCATTAC